CCGATGAGTCGTCCTGCGTTGACATCATTCGAATCGAAAGCGATCGGAACAGAAGTCGTTCAGAGTGGCATGGAAACTACGTGTTCACGTTGTACGTACCGGCGTTCAACTGCGTCTCTCCTGTCTGCTTCGAAAATTCCAACGTCCTCATGGCACATATTTTCTGTAGGCAGCTGAACATGCTGACCTTCCGACGCTATGACGCAGTGGCCAACGTCGAGTCACTGTCCGCCATTGGTCACCGAGGACTGACGTGTCATGGCTACGAGTCCGTTCTGCAACAGTGTCTTGCGTCGCCTGATGATCTAACTATCGAAGTGTGTCCACGACTATTGACGATAGACTGTGCACAAGAATGCCGATTCGTACTCAAACAGAGGAACGGAACTGTGAAATCGGCCGGATATCCTGACCATTACCTTCCGTTCTCTGACTGTACTTGGGACATCATAGTTCCTGCCGACCACGCGATTCTGTTGGAGCTTCTTGACTTGCACATGGGCATGGAAACATCGAAGTCTATGCAAGAACGCTGCTCAAGATCGCACTTAGACCTGTTTTTATCCGCGGATGAAAGCGAGGGTCTAAGCTCGCTGAACGGCAGAGTGCGTCTCTGTGGAGATTCGACGAATCTGCAGGTAAATACTCAAGCTAATTCTGGAACGCTTCGGCGTTTAACCTTGATCTCCAAACAGTCAACCCATATGTGATACGACACTTACTATCTTCAATAAATAACTTTGTTTTAATGTAATTTCAGACTTTTTCTTCCTCTTCCAATCGTCTGCGAATTCACTACGTTACGGACGCGATGAGAATCATCGAGTCTAGTCGGAAAGGATTCATGCTTCGATATTACAGCGTTTCTGGCACGGGCATGAGACCTCGATGGACTGCGGACTACACAACCATTCCTTCTAGTCACCATTCCAATGGTGACGAGGAAATGGACACTGAAGAGCATGTGACTACCTTCATAATGATGGCCATCCTGCTTTTGATCGCCACTGCTTCAGCGCTGAAGCACTGGCTGTCACACGTGTCGCTCAGGAGAAAATCCACGAAAGTCAGGAGGTTGAACATGGGAGTGGCTCGAACGAACATGGTGAACATCGAATGTTTGGTACAGCGACCAGACAGACATGGCTATTATCACCAACCACTGTACTGTTCGAAATGTGAGCAGCATTTCCAGAGAAACGACAGGGTCTGTTCTCACTTGCAGTTGCTGATCGATCAGTTTGGTGAAAGGAGGTAAATTATGACACCACATTCTGCCAGGAACTTATATGGATGATGTGCAATATTTATCTCCATGGTTTTCAGGGGGTTCACTTAGAATGTAAATTATATTTAACGCAAATCAAACGCATCACCTCGAACTTGATCTGCCTTCATGTAGAGTTATGTAATAACTTATGTATGAAGTATGTAGAGACGGTAAGGTTGCTGTTTGCAGACGACCCTGTTTTGTTGTTATCTGCTGAAACTGATCTCATGCGTTTACTACAAAGGTTCGCAGTCGAATTCTACCTGGCCTCTGTGCTTGTGCAGTGTCTGATACCAAAAACCTAATGATTCCTCATTCTGCTGGCCGCTGCACTGTGCAAATAAACAGAGAGGCAGCGGAGTCGATTGAGAAATTCATTTCATCAATTCATTTTTCTCGGTTTAGTGTCTGCTGGTGACTGCAAATGCGAGGAAGAGAGCGACCGATGAATTGGAATGGCTATCAGCGTCTTACATTAACAAGCCAAATCGTTCTGACTAAGCCAGAGCTGACACTGAAGACTAAGTTCTCCATGTTCTCGATCTCCATCCCCATGCTTACCCCTGGTCAGGAGTCGTGGACCCTGAATGAGAGACTTCGAACTCGGGTACAAGCGCCTGAAATAGGCTTTCTTAGACGGGGCGCTGGCCTTACACGTTTCAACATGGTCCGGAATGCAGACATCCGGGAGAGCCTGGGTGTACAGCCTTTGCTTCTCCAGACTGAGAAGCAACAGCCTTCAATGATCTCCGCACGTCTTGCCAATGTCCGGCAGAAGATCCTCGGACAGCCAAAAATGCCTTGTGCAAGTTTCTTAACTAATTCTGCTCTAGATTCTGATTTTCTTTTGCCGAAAATCAAACGCGGGCATAGGATCTGGAACATATGACCTGTTTTACACCGCGCCTGCATCCGAGACCCGAAAGGATAGGCTTTCCTCGAAGTTGATTGAAGGAGGACTGAATGAGGTATGCAATATTCCTAGAAGGTAGATCGAGCAAGATTAGATACGCCTGATTCACGCACAATTTTAAAACATGAATATTTTAGCTATAATCGACTTTTTTGCCTGCATAAAGTATTCATTTGATATTCCTAAACCTGTGTTTATTTGTATGACGAGATATAAAAGTTCGATAACTATAGGCCAACGAGCAACCAATGAATTTAATTGCTTGAATATGAAGAACATGGCAATATATTTCAGAGTGAAAGAACAAAAACGGTACACAGTAATACATACTACGTGGAGGTAAAGTTATTTGGAACCCATGTTTCATAGCTGAGTTACAGGTGAAGAACAAGGAGGTGAATCGTGCCAGTAAATTGATCAAATTAAGTGCATTCGGTCCCATCATTGCCATTGTTGGCACAATCTATGATCATAATGTGCAGGCACTCGACGATGAACCGTTGCTCCAATCAGGTGAATGTCATCGGGCCACCGCGTCGACAAGCGATGGGCTGAAGCCCTGTTGCACTAATCTGATTTCATATTTTTTATGATTAGCTTAGCTTTCATACTTAGTTTCCTTGGAGTAAAGGAAATGCGTAAAGCCCGGTAGAACAGCAACGTTACTCCATTGTGACCAGGTGCTTTCCTCTGAATCAGAGCCCACATCGTTGTCCACTTAGGATAACTCACTTTCGACTAAAAAGTGGTGGTGGTTGCTTACATCAGTTAGGATTTTATGATAATCCACAACAGCCTCGCTCGCCGTCTCATTACATGCTTTCACAGCTAGAGTAGAAGCTCTGGTGGAACAGGCTCCACAGTGCATTATCCAGTCGTTTCGAGCAGTACAGTATTCTATAGCATGAGTCAATTTTGCAAAGTGCGATCGACACTGACGAACAACGTGGAGAGGCGTCTGCGCATGCAGTCAATGCGTCATCAGTGCTTGCTTCAAAAGCGCTAATAATCTCGTTTATATTACGTTTGTTAGCTCTGCCGCGAAGTGAGGGTCGTCATAAACGGCAAACTAAATGACCTTCATTCCTGGTCGAACAGATGAGCAGGGCAACAGTTGCACACACCTGAAATGACGCCAGTGGAAACTGAGAAGATCCGCCGTCGAACATCTCGATATGGAGTGACTCTTTCCTCTAAAATCCACCCGCCCTTGTCTACATCGGATCGGCGCTGCATTTTGGAATGGCGGAGGAGGGGGACAAAGGAAAGAGAACGACAGTTAAATTCCCTATAACTTCGTCGGCTTCAACGCATGGAGAGATTTAAATGGCAGGGCCTCGTGAAAAATCGCTCTATTCTCTTCCAGACACAGAAGACCTCAATATACGTAGAAATGAAGTGGAGAAAGTTAGTCCTGCTAGAAAAAGTAATTTTGCAGGGACAATTTGCTCAACTCCTCGAGTTTCTCGTGTCTGAGACCAAATACGACTGACTTTAGCCAGGAGGCCAGTGTGCAACACGGAGGAATAACGTAAAAGCCGACCTGCTTGTCTTCTGTGAGGCAGCGTCTGATACTCTATATGGCAAAGGTCGAATATAGCTGTAATCGCTTACCAGAGACGCTTTGCCATGCAAACGACATTGCGTGATTACCTCAATGAACTCAATGCAACTTAGCGGAGGCAAATTATGTAGCAGTTTACTCCGTCCATCGGGCAAGCGACGATGAGTCTTACGTGTTCCAATACTTTGGTTCTACATCCATCTCTGAAGTCATGTTTCAATTGCTTTTCAAATTCCTTTAAACCTTGTTGATTTGAGCATTTTTTGACTTTACCATTGATTTTTTTATTTTTTACATTTTCAATAAACTTCCCTTTCCATTCAATTTTGCATACAATGAAACGGTTATGATTTTACAACGGGTCCTGAAACATCGACAAAGCTTCTCTTCATCTCACAGCGCTGTTATCCAATTATTTAAGACTTTGATGCAAGGTTAAATTAGAATTTGTACTTGACGCATTATGATAATTGCAAAGAATTGCCGGATATCGATTACACTTGGTAGACCTCTTCAGCCGCACAGTTCTGACTCGGGAACCGTGATTACTTCTGATTCCCGTCCTTGTGGGTTTGAAGCTCAAAACTACATTAACGTCTATCAACTTTGTGAATCGTTTATATTGCATCATACTACATTACCAGTGCTTTCTTGTATTTTCAGCACTCGCATTCCTTAGGGAAGTATCAAACGTTGTAAAGTATAAATTTGCATTAATGTAACGGTAGTAATAAATCTTTCAACATAATTTATGAGCCTGAATATACCCCCAGGTGAACAAGCCAGCGTATGAATTGCATCACAAACCTTAGTGAACGAACGTTTCAGAGAGACTTCGTTTGATGTGGCTCCCGAAGACCTGTCTGGGCAAAAAGATGATGTAAACTTCAGCACCGTCAGCAACATCACGATCGATATCGAGGAACTGATGTCTACCAAGGAAATGAATCAGGTGAACAGGAGAGAATCTGGGAAAAAGAGTCTCATTTCGAATACAAGAAGCAAACGACGAAGTGAAAGAAGTGATTATCCTAGAACCAGCGTTCTTCTATCGGCTAAAAGGAAAAGTGGAGTAAACGTGTCTACGCATCAGTCACGATTGTATACATTGAACTCCACGTCCAGCAGCGCCCAGTCGTCGGCTATGCCTGATTTGAGTGCGGTTACGAACGACCAGACTTCAAGCAGTGATCAGCCGGTAGTTTCCTGCGTCCTCATTCGAAGCGAGGACGACGACGTGTACACGGATGTAGTTGCGGATGCAGACGTCCCTAGCACTTCACTGCTGAACTTGCCCGACATGCCAGGTAAGAAAATTTAAGACAGCTGATTTTTAATCATATGAACTTGCACCTGCCATAGGGTCATCACACCTGCGAAGATGCAGAAAAGCGTCGTTGAGGGAAGTTAAAACCAAGCTCACCTCCTTGCTTCGAAAGGAAAGGTCTGAACAGGTGAATAGCACGACCTCGGTACCAGATATTGGGAATGTCGAAAGTCGATTTCGATGAATTATGGAAACAACGGTAGTTCAAAGTTTTCGAATTGTCTAATACCAGCCTTAAATTGCCTTAAGTTGTGCAAATT